AATATACTTCCATTTGATTCATTTCATTTTATATTTGTATTGTAAATGTATAATTGTATTAGATTAATTTCAATCAACTGCAATAAATTAAAATATAAATAATAAATAGAATTAATTTTGTTCCACATTGACTTAAAATGGATAAAGGAATTAATATCATTAATTTTATTTAAAATATATCAAAAAAGTTAAAAATAACAATCGACGAAATAAAAAATAATTAAATAAAATCAATAAGATTTTAAATGTCTAAAATAAAACTGAGTTAATTTCGAAGGATTATATATGAAAATAAAAATATTTATGTTTCTCTTTTGAAAAAAACAATACAATATATATTCATCTTTAACCAAATTCGAACTTAAAATGAATGTGTAACGGTTCATCCATCTTTATATAGTCATTGTGGCCATGATTGGATCATGGGACCTTCACGTTGGAGAGTTATAGATCAAAATCACTATACGAAAGATCTGTTTTTAATTCGAAACGACGTAGTATTTAAATGGGAACATTTTTAATCTCTTAAATGTTTATTTAAATACATAAAACTATCGTTATAAAAACTATTAACATTAGAAAAATCTGACATTATGATCTTACAAGATCTTATAAGATTCGGATTCTCGGATTTTTCAAGAATCTTATGGTAAGAATCGTATAAGATTTACACTAGCATCTTATAGTAAGAAAACGTACTAAATCTTATAATAAGATATTCGTACGATTCTGTAAGATCTTACAGTATGAATCTTACGACATCCGATTGTTGGTAAGAACTTGTACGATCTTATAGGATCTTCGTCAGATTTTTCCACCTGGGTTATTTAATGTTGACGATGAAAAAAATTTTACCTGAATTGTTTGACAAATTTGATGATAACCGGTTATCTTTTGATTTTATTACACGTATATCAGATGACGATCGTGACAAATCTTCACAAATAATATTTTCCTTAATTCGATCATAGGTAACTTCAAAGGTTTTTTCTATTTTTTTTTCATGTTCATCTTCAGACTGTTCATCTACATATGATTCATCGATGACCAGGTTTTTGCTCACCGAAGGCGTGGAAGATGAACAGTTATCTCCATCAACATCATTATTTTCTTCTTCATCATCATCATCGTTTACTTGTGTACCATATTTTCCTAAGACTAAATAGGAAGAATAAAATCGTTAACTTTTCAGACAACGTATTTCTAGAGTCGACACTACTTTGATCAGCAGGACTTGTATTAACAATATCAGCAATTGAAATCCTTAACAGTGATAGTGAACAATTTCGGTTAGAAATACAACCACCAAGAACATTTGCACGAAAATCATAGGCGATATGTTTTTCAACATCACCTAATTTTGATTTATTCGATCGAAAACTCCCCTCTTTTATAGAGATTCTTCAAAAAAAATTTTTTTAATCTAAAAAGGAGCACAATATCATTCAACTATAAAATTAAACTTTAGGCAGCATCGTAGTCGACTAACATTAACATAATAGACAGCATAGCACAAGTGCTATTCTTCAGGTAATGGGGAAAACATATAATTCTCACCCATCAACCAATCACCATTATTAGCTATTACAACAAAATAATCACAGATGACGCAATCCATAGCAATTAAATATCATAATTTTTCCTCTCCCTGTCTATTCTCTTCCTTACAGCGTCCACCCACGATATTCACCGAGGTGTGTGGGTGTGGGTGTGAAGATCCCACCGTGGGATCTTCACACCCACACCCACATCCACACCCTGAGTCTTTTTCTCTCTTTGTTTTTATACCACCATACTTTACATCAAGTTTATTGCCGAGTAAAGATATGACATAAGAGTTTTATTACAATATGTTACAGATAAAACTAAAATAAAACTCTTATGTCATATCTTTACTCGGCAATAACTTTGATGTAAAGATGCAGTCATTTTAATTAAATGAATGTTTCGATCTGGTTCAATAGATTTAGATTGAAAACAAGCATTTAAATCAAATAGAACTTCTTGTTCATTTGAATAATCACTGAATGAAGAAATATCAGCAAAAATAACAATTCTACCGAGTTCTTTTATTTTACATTCGATTTGAAAGAGAACAGGAATAACATTGGCAGGTTTTGTTGTTTTCGCTACAAAACATCGTGTTTTTTCTTGTAGTCAACTAGTTGATAAATATCCATTCATTGAGATAAGTTTTCTTTAATTATCTTTTAATTTGTCAAATTATTCTTGTTCAAGTTTTGTTCCTCGATAAACAGTTAATATATCTTCTTTGATAATAAAATCTTCTCATGTTCACATCGAAGACTTTCCGAAAGATTACCAATAAAAAACGAAATGTATATAATTGATCAATATCTTCAGTTCTTAATGCTTTATTTATTAATTTATAAACAAATGATTCTTTCGAATACCAATGAACTGCATGTGTATGTTGATATTCTTTTCCACATTGATCGATTAACTTGAGTTCGGCAGTATTACCACGATAATATTGTCTACATATTTGAATCATTTGTTGTTTTGCTTGTTGATCTGGTGGAAAATGACCAACAACATGATTGAAACGTTGAAATCAGAGAAATTCTGCTGATTCTTTTGATAAATCTTTCGTTGACTTTTGATATTGGTCAAAAAAACTGAATATTAATACTTGCTTATCGACCAGAACAATTTGTTCTTGAATTGATTCACACAATTCATCAACATTCGTATAAATACCAATAACTTTAGTCGATTCGTCTGTTACATATTGATATTTCTTCTTTTTCATACAAAAAATAAAAATAGAATCAATTTGATGAGGAGAAGATACATGAAGTAATATACCTGATGCTCGTTTTCCTGCTGTGATTAAAAAGAATTTTTCTTTGTTTCTGAATTTTATATATGAAACACATTGATGAAGATCTGTATAAAATTGTACATAATCATTAATATGACAAAGACGTTCTTTTGTTTATTTTGTATCTTCATGCAATTCAATATTTGGATAAAACCAAATAAGTGTTATACTTTTCTTATTTTCATCATCATTAGTATCTACCTTTTCTCTAGTACTGACCAATAGATTTTAATTACTAGCAGTAATGAATTGATTTCTCATAATAAATTGAAAAAGAGTTACTTCGTTAGAAATAGTAATAAATCAAAAAGAATTTCATGCTTTACTTACGTTTGGTGAAAGTCGATTCTTTTTCTTGATTTATTTTATTCTTTCAACCCTGATTTTATTTTGATCAGATTGCATGACAATGAATGAATGTATTAACGCGTGATCAAATTTATTGACATAAGTAGTATATCATGCCAATATTGTTAAGACTTCTCCCACGCGGCAATGGACATCATTGCAAGTAACCAACAAAGATCCTGAGGCATAGTAAGGACAATGAAAAGAAAATTTGTGAAAAAAAAACCAACGAACAGAAATTATTCTCTTTTGAAAACATGTAAGTTTAATCAACACGTTCGCTTTTGAATAAAAATCGTCCCTGAGGGGTAGGTGACGATGAGTATCAAAGCTAATCGTGATTACGATTTCGTTCTTTCTCGAGGGACTCATCAGACGGATTTGAATTGTATTCTAATTAGATTCTATTCAGGTGATCTCGCAGAGAAATTACAAATAAGAGATGCACACGCGTGCATTTTCATTATGAATGATTTGTAAACAAAAATGTTTTATGACAAGTAGTGTCTTGAAAAGCAAAGTGAAGCGACGAAACCGGTCAGCGATGTCCAAAGTTTAAAACCGTGACAAGTTTGCCTACTTGTAATAAAATATTAGTCAGGATTTGGCAACTGTCATGAGTGACGTAAAAAGTTATTCAAATAGGTGTCTTCCTCAGGAAAATTACTGTAGCTGCAGCTTTTTGTCAACATTAAAAAAAATTAAACTCAAATTTTCAGCGTTTCGTTTGAACCTGAAGTTTTGATGGTCAAAAGCGCTGAGTACGAGCTCATTTTCTTAGTGTTGTACCACGGATATCGAAAACATCGATTTCTTAACAATGAAACAACGTTGTTTAGAAATGAAGCATAGTTATTTTCCTAACTATATGATGAGTAAAATGGGAACAAAACATCAGATAAGTATCCAAGCTAACTGAACTTGGTGCTTTTGCAACATTGATGTTTTCATGCTTTTTTTCGACTTTTTAAAACCTAATTTTCTTACATTTTCTAACAAAAACACTACTTGAACAATTCAAGATAGTCGTATTCTTGTGGAGTTTGTCAAGCTCTATATAACCATGTCAAAAAAAAGTCGAAAATAAATGCATCTTAAATTTCGAATGGTCGACATCCTATATTAAGTTCTGTGACGCTACACATAAAAGAATTCATTTTGGCGGTGAAATCAATATCTGGAATGTTGTTTATCGTTTTTTCATCAATTCTGTCTCATTTATTACTGTGTAACAAACACATTTTAACTTTCCTAGCATTTTAATATGTAATCACCGAAATTTTTTCCGATTGCTTCAATTTCAACCGTTTTCAGATCCTATTTCTACGGTTGATCCTTTGATAATGATCAAGCTTGTCAAATTTAATCTCCTAATATAGAAGCTCAGATTATTGATCATAATTCAAGATATGTACTGTGCATTATTCGTTTTCAGTGCAATGATTAGTAGATACAAAGTTAAGATTTATAAAGAGACAAAAAAATTCCGTATTCTGTCTCAATTTTAACCAGTCTGCGAAATAATATCATATTTCTGTTGTTTGTTGAATAAGTATTCTAACTCCGAAACTGAATATTGAAAGCATTGTGTGACATCAAAATAAATACTCTGTTGTTGGCCACTTGCCGTCAGAATAGTCAGTCGGTCATAATATTTTCCATTTTCAGTCACAAATGCTTTTGATTTGAAGTTGTATCCCGGGTATTTATGATGCAACCATTCGTGTTCTGTTTGACTCGCAATAGATGTGTTTGTTTCTTGTAGAAGTATCGCTGTCGCAGGCGTTGAACCATCTTTGATGGTTTCAGCAGACAGATTGCTGTAAATGACATAGAAAAGAGTCAATACATTTTTTCTTTTTGAAGCACTATTCTTAATGAGTGTTGAAGCATATCTCAAAAAAAAAGAAAACCCCATAGACCGTGACAGATATGTCAACATGTTGCTCACTTAGCTCTGCCACGGATCGACATCAATGTGGCGAGAGTTTTACTGTATGATTACAGCGGTTCCATTTTATTTTACATTGTAATCCTGAAGGAATTGCACTGAAAGCTTTTTAGAAAGGTTTTCTATATTTTCAGGCTAACAGGAATGATTGCGATCTTTTGACATATTTTGATTGTTTTCTCGAAGAAAAGTCATAATTCACATTGTCTTAAAATTTGCTAAGCTCTATTAAGGTTGGAAGTGTACGTCAAATATGTCCCGACAATTTTCTTATCGAATAAAAGCTTTATACACACTCACCGTTTAAGAAGTGATGAACAGCTTCGAATAGATTTGCAAATTCGACCAAACATAGTAATGCCCGTTTCTTATTCCCTTCGTCGTTATATATATGCGCAATATTTATCTACGTAGATTTACTTCCGCCACATCTACTTCCGAGTTGGAAAAATCCATGCATTACGAAGTAATGAATCGTGACTTTGGCGTTATTTCGTATTGATTGCACTATGACTAATACAGTAATAGTCAGACGTTATTTTCTTTCGTTCGGACGTTCTATTCCTATTACTACGATGAATGAGCTATGTATTCGGTTACGCTTGAATTACAACATAATTGCGTCGCAGTCAACGTAATTGCGCGTAATCGGACTTTTACGATGAATTAAGCGCAATTGTGACGTAGTTTGGAAAAAATTGCTGAAAGAATTTGAATCTCAAACTCACGTATCAAAATAGGTCCATTAGAAGAATATCGACTTTTGTTTCCGGTCGTATAACGAGTTGAGATTTTGAAAATAGACTCCTCTTCAGGCAGTCAAAATTAATACAAAAACGCTTTAAAATACTCGAAAATCGTTTAACAGTTTAAATGCATTTTTACATGTTTGAGTTTTGAATTAACTTATCTGTTTAAAAAAGTTCTATACCTCAAGGCTCTTTAACAGATCGCCATGACGATTTCTTAGCTGTTTCAATCTTATTTCCATTGTGTATTGTCGTCATTTAAAGTCAACTTTATTACCTGTTAATTCATTTCAGACTATGCTATTAAAATTTTTTCGTAATTCATTTATTTTTTTGAATTTGAATTATGAAAACACTTTTATTGTATAGGTTGAAATCGACTAATAGATAATAAAGTTTAACCTATATGGCAACAATACAAAATGGGAATAAAACTGAAAACAGGGTGTGGGTGTGGGTGTGGGTGTGTGGGTGTGGGTGTGGGTGTGTGGGTGTGGGTGTGGGTGTGGGTGTGGGTGTGTGAGTGTGGGTATGGGTGTGTATAAAGAATTTTCGCACTCACACTCACACCCACACCCCACACCCGCACCGACACCCACACCCCACACCCGCACCGACACCCACACCCACACCCTTCCCCGGAATTCCTTCCAAATCGTTGCGATTCCGTATCCGTCCGCTACCCAGAATTTCGTCCCGGAATTAGATCCAATTATAAGCCTCAGCCGATCACAGTGATGCCAACGGTGAGCGATTCCAGAATCACTAGGAATTCCGCAGAATTCCTTCCTACTCCTTGCGATTCCGGATCCGTACGATACCCGGAATTCCGTCCCGGAATTATATGCGGTTGTAAGCCTCCGCCGATGAGAGTGATGGCAAGGCTGAGCGATTCCGGAATCGATAGGATCTGTTGTAAATGATTCCGGAATCAGATTGTGGCGTGGTTGAATTTAGTTCCGAAATCGGTGGAATTGATTCCGGGACGGAACTGATTCCGGAATGTTCAACATCGCGGAATGGGATGTATTCTCAAACATGGAAAAACATTCAATCAATAAAAAGAAGAACAACCTTGTCTTCCTTGAATTTTTCGTTTTTCATTTCTATAATCATCAACAACATCAAGATTAGCAATTTTCTTTAATCTTAATCATTTAAATATCCAATACAATCACCATCATCTATTATTAAATATTAAAAAAAATTCAATAAATGTTATTGATAATTTTCAATTTTTTTTTCTTATCTGCACATGCAATAATTGTCCCAGATATACGATTAATAGGTTTACATTGATGTTTAAGGGGATATTTAAATGAACGAATATTTTGATGATCTTGACATCGTTCATTCCAGATTCTTGACTTTCTTGATTATTAGACAAGAGGGTGTGGATGTGGGTGTGGCAGGGTGGGGTGTGGGTGTGAGGTTGTTTTATCACAGGCCACACCCACACTCACTCACACTCACGCCCATACCCACACTCGCACCCACCCACACCCACTCACACCTACACCCTCACCCACACCCACACCCACATCCCACACCCCACACCCTTCTGAATATGTTAAGCGTCTATGTGAATATAGATTTTTGCTTTTTGGGAATTTTAAATTTTCACTTTTATCGGCTGGTATCAGGTATGGTCTCACTAGCATGTATTGGTTCTAGTTGTGTTCATCTTTACTTTCAATAATACAACTTCATTACTTACAAATATTGTACAAATTCCATTATTTTTATTCCAGTGATTTGAACTATCAAAGATAAGAATTTATTTCTACGACTATATGAACAAGAACTTTCAAAGCATGATTATGCAAGAGACATATTCTACTTTGTTCAAATAGACTACATATTGCATGATTTTCTTGAGGTTTGGTAATTTGATTTATTGTTAATTCAGTTTCAGTTGAATGAATATATCTGTATGGAATATTTAATGATGAACTAAAAATTAACAATAATTTCTGTAAAGAAATTTTAATTTTTTGGAATTGTTATTTAGATATAGAAGAATACAAAGATTTTGTATTTACATCAAACTATGTCTGTTGTAAGTATATATATATTATTACATATCAAATAATAAGCATAATTTTTTGTTTACATTGAAGATAATCAATAGTTTGTTATGAGTCTTACTAAACACAACATAAATCTAAATTAGAGTAGGTTTAACACATCTTAAAGTTTTAATTGTTATCTATGAGAGTTGGAGAAATTCTAACTTTCGTTGGGCGCCAACTTTATTCATCTTTAACTTCAAGTAAATCATAGTAAAAAAATATGTAAAGAGGTGAAAGCGATTGCAGATAATACATAACTTTATCAAACACGAATGATAGAAATGAGATATAAATTGATGGCCCATTCTCAGTTTCTCAAGAAATTCATATGAGTCTGTTGATATTTTTTCAGTTTTCAAACACTAATGTATTCATTAACATAATCTAATTAAAGAATATATTTCTTATTGCGTGTTCTATTCTTCACAGAACAACTTTTCTGAATTGATATGTTTTTCACTCAGTTCGTATTGTATTGTTACTGAGAACTAAATTAATTTATCTTGATGGTCATTGTTAGCTCTTATACTATTAATTGTAATGATAAAATTGATTTTCAATCGAATAATGATAGCCAAGGTAGTTTTATCAAAATTCAAAGTTACGGCAAAAGGACACGTATATTCAATTGAATACTTTTCTTGATCTAGCCCAGTTATTTCAAGGTGATTATGGGTATGGATAAGACGGAAATTCGAACATTCACACTTATTTTGCAATGAAATTGCATATTATTAGAGTTTCTGCAGTTCTACCGATACTTTTTCAATAACTTCACAGCACGAAACGACTTGTTTAGGGTATGAGTGTGGGACTAGCTCTCCACTTAAGCCTTACCTACACCCACCCCCACACCCAAATAATTAATAATAAATGGATTAAAACAGAACATTCATTCATAATCAAGACTTTTAATTTCTTAGTGAATTAAGATAATATGAATTGATAATATACATCAATTGTATTAATCATAGATTATTTCTTTGTTTATAACATAATTCAAAAAAAAAGAGAGAATAAACAACAAACAAAGAAAACCGTTCGTTGTAAGGTAGTAGCAATATAAAAAAAAGAACACATATCGAGAAAAAAAACGGATATATGTAAATATATTTATATATATGAGTGAATTGCAACTTTTTAGTGCAATTGATGGTTCAGCTGTATTTCGCTAATAACTTCTGTTTGTCTCAACCGATTTAAACAATTTTTTTATATGTTGTATCCCTTTAGGCTCCCCACTGCCATACAAAACCTCAGCTCTATAGCTCATACTGTCATTGAGTTATAAGAAGTTTATTACTAAAAAATGTCAGTATTGTCATGGTGGGTACTAAGAAAATGAAATTTTTGACTATAAAAGGTCAAGAGGAAAAGAAGATAATTAGTCTATTTTGTAGAACGTCCGACGCTCTATCCAAATATATAACTGATTTTAATCTTATTTTTCGTTCCTTCTTTCGTCCACCATTAATATTGTTTGACAGACACTTGTACATTTTTATGTAGAGTGACGAAAACATGATTCTAGCCCAGCCTGTGATAGAGCTGGTAGCGCGCAGACTATATCAAAAGAAGGAGGACTCTTCAACTACCAAACTGATTGGAAAATGTTCTCTCTTATCAGACTTAGTTGAGGAAAAAAATAGTAAGACTTTCTGAAAAAAGGATCTGTATACTCACTTTGTAGAGTGACGATTTGAAAATTGTCATCTTTATAACTCCTCAACGGCTCGTTCGATTTCACTCAAATTTTTGCAGGACGTACAAAACAAAAAGTTCTACTAATGGTAAAAATTTCAGCCTTGGATCTTGTACCGTTCAGGAGAAATTTACATTATACTGAAAAATGTAGAGTGACACTTTTTGAAAATTACTTTGTGTATAACTTGTGAAAAGCTCGTTTGTTTTCGCTCAAATTTTTACTGTAGATATATTTCTCAGACTTATCTTACTGGGTAAAAAATTCAGCTTTCTATCTCTTACCGTTCTCAAGATATTTACATTACATGATGAACTCTAAAATGACATTTTTCATGAAAATAACGTTTTTTTATAGTACATTTACGTTGAAGTAAGTCGTATCTCAGCTAATATGCGGTAAAGTGTTGGGAAACTTTTGCTGTATACTACAGGTATAGAGCCTAATAAAATGCACCACTCAAAAGTTGTTTAGGTTCACTTTCATTTTTTCTCGTCAATCGTACCAAAAAGTTGCAATTCACTCATATATATATATATATATATGTTTATATAAATAATAAAGATAACTGTATTAAATAAGAAATGACATTTTAATTGGAAAAAAATAAAATATTGATCACACTTCTTCCTTATGTCGTCTAGCTGATTTAAGTGCTACGAATTCTCTTGCCAATTCATCATTTGTTCTATGTGATAATATTCTTAATATAGTTAATCTTGTATCATCAAAATTTATATGTGAACCAAGTGGTACCCATGATGACCATGAACCTTGTTCACATACTTGTGATAATTTAATAACATTTAAACCAATTAAACGATCTTCACGCATAAATGAATAATCTTTTACAGCAATATTTAATTCATAACAATCTAGTTCTTCTTCATAACCCAATAAACTAAAAGATTCTTTTGTTCCTCTTGTTATTATGAATTAAGACAAACTTACAAATGAAATGTTTCATTATATTTAGGTATCCATGTATCACTTTTTGTTTTCGTTGTTTGTTTACGTTTTTTATCACTTAAATGAGGGCCACATATTGCTAATTCAACATATGGACGAAACATTCCTGATGTACGCCATTTAAGAGCATTTGCAGCAACAACTTAAATTATAATGATTATAATTTATATATATATATATAGAATCAAATATTCGTATTTATTTTCTACCTTTTACAGTAACTTTATGTTCGCCACTACTTGGATCTGTAAATATATCAACTTGAATTGATACTTCACCAAAATATCCTTCTAGTTCTGGTCGATCTTTAATAAATAAATATAATTAAATTGATAATCAATCAAATATATATATTTACCTTGATCTCTTTCTGTTTTAACAAATGTTTTAATTAATGAATCAGTTGTTTGTGTACATAATGAAAGAGCATATTTAAGTGATTGTAATTCTAAACTTTCTTCTAAATCATTTTTTTTTAAACCTTGTCCAGATGCATGAAAAAATTCTTTTAAATCTTCTAAACTACGATCTAATATTTGATATTGTTTATGAGTTAAATTTCGATCATTATCTCGATCTAATTTCTATTTTAAATAAATTTTATATATATATGAAAAGAAAAAATAAAATAACAAACCCCAAATAAAAGACGATAAACATCTTCTATTATTGCTGATGGAGTTGTTAATAAATGTTTAGAATCGGAAAATGGTGATAAAACAATAACTTTTTCTAAATCACTAATAACAGCTTTCCATGATTCTTTTAGAAGACGTTCTAATACTGTTTTTCCACATTGATTTGCGAAGAAAGTTATTCTAAGATAAATAATTAAATAAATATAAATCAATGATATTTTTTCAATTTGATTGAAAA